TTAGAAGGTGAGAACTCCATCTGCCGTGTTGAGCTCCACGCAGCAAGAGCGTTCAAATCTGAATGAATTTGTTCTAGGCATCTCGTGGCCGTAGAGTTTTAGAAGGAGTAAACACTCTTATGATCATCCGCATAAATATAAGATTGGGAGTGTTTAACACTCAATGAGATATCATTCATTTAAAGCAAGAAGAGCAGAGGACCTAGCACGGTACCTTGAAGGACACCACTCAAATGCGGGTAGGAGTAGAGTATGAGTATCCCACTAAGACCTTTTGTTGTCGATTTGAAGAACACTAAGCCCTTTTGTTTTCGATTAGAAAGATAAGATCTGATAAAGTCGATAAGAGGGCTACGAAATCCTATAGCCTCTAGTTTGGCTAGAAGCCTCCTATGAGGAACTTTATTGAATGCTCTACTAAGATCAAAATAGATAGCTACCACCGATAAATTATCATTGCGAAGAGACGTAAGTAGGTTTAGAAAAGACATGTGGCATGAATGAGAGAGAATATTCGCATTCCAGGTATGTCTATTGATAATGAAGACAAATGATCGAGCACTGGAACGGGATGTTTTTTTTTCTTGAACACAGGCTAGTACAACCCTCAGTGGCAAGTCGGTAGCACAGACACACAATTATTGATTTTTTACACGTTCAAAATTTCAGTTATTGTACACACGCCCCAAGTAGCTACTCCATATGTTGCTGTTTCTCCACCTCTGACAATGAGCTCCTGCAAGAGCACGAAAGCTCAGAAAAAATACATCCCGTTCCAGTGTTCGATCATTTGTCTTCTTTACCAACATGTGGCATGGTTCATAAGATCTCTCCGGTAAAAAGCCATGCTGTGAGGAGCTGAGAATGTTATTGTTTATGCAAAAACTTAAGTTTTTTGGCAATTAGTTTTTCAAAGGGTTTAGCCGGAGATGGCGTTTTGTGAACACCGCGATAATTATGAATATTCGAGCGGGAACCATATTTAAAAATGCGAATTATAATAAACGTTTTGCAGTAGTCCGGGAAAAACCCATTCTGGAGAAATACTGAAAATGATTTACTCAGTAAAGGTGGAAAATCTCTTAATTGTTTAATGATTGAGTTTGGAATGTTATCATTTCCAACCGAATGTGAATTTTGAAGACGACTTATTTCTTTTTGAATACTCGCAGGTGAGAAATCGATGGTAGTGAGATTTGAATCACACAGCAAAGGGATTGCTGGAGTAGGGCTAGTTTCGATGGTAAAGAACTTGGCGAAAAAGGAATCTAGCAATGCTG